ACGGATTTTGAACTTAGTCTATTGTATCCAAGACTCATGATGAAGGAACCAAATCTCTTGTATTAATATCTCGGCGCATGTTTGAGACTGTATAGAGATTTTTTCAACTTGCAAACCAAGTTCTCTTTTCATTTATCTTCAAAACCTTCTGGTTGGAGCATATAAATATCTTTTTCAAGTTCTCCATGAAGAAATGCAGTTTTCACATTTAACTACTCCGGCTATAAGTCAAATACAGCACACATCGTCAAGACTACTCGAACTGTTGCAAGTCAAATCACAGGAGAGAGTATTTTATTGAAGTTAATACCTTTTTTTTAGCATATCCCTTCACTACCAGTCTCGTACGGTACCACTCTACTTGGTCATTGCCATCTCGTTTGATCTAGTAGACCCATTTATTCCCAATGTTCTTCCTTCCTTGTGATAATAGAACAAGATCCTATGTCTTATTCTTATGAAGAGTTTCAATTTCTTCTTGTATTGCTATCATCCATAGAGAACTTCTTGGCTATTTATAGCCTCATGGAAAGTTGATGGCTTTCCATCTTCTGTCAGTAAGCAGTATAAAACATTGCCCTCCATAATGTACTCTGAGTACCAAGATGGTTTCCCTCTCTCCCGTGTTGATCGTCAAACTTCCTGAACACTTGACTCAACTTGTTCTTGTTCTTTGTGCTCTAGTGTTACCTCGGGAGAATCTATAATTTCTCATTCTTCTCCAACTTCGATTGTAGTTGTCTCTGATTCTTCTTTTGAAGTGCTATTATATATATATATATATCTTGCCTTCTACAAATATCACATCTCTACTGATTATCACCTTTTGGACAATGGGATCCTACAGGCGGTATCCCTTGACTCTATCAACATACTCTAAGAAAATACATTTTCTTGGGTATTGTACATAAGGTATACAGGACTTCCAATAGATGGAAGTGAGAATAATCGACTAGCTTACCCGTCCACATTTTCATAGGCGTCTTCAGATCAGTTGCGGGTGACGACGATCGATTAGTTACAAAATAGTCGATCTCGATTGCTTCTGCCCAAAATGACTTAACTAGCCCCGCAGTTCTCAACATTGCCCTTGTTCTTTCTAGCAATGTTATATTCATCTGCTATGACACTCCATTCCATGGAGTGTATACCATCATGAATTGTCTCTTGATAACTTCTTGTTGACAAAAGTTATCAAATTCATCACCAGTATATTCTCTTCCATTGTCAGTTCTCAGATACTTGATCTTTTTTTCAAATGCAAGCTCCATATGCATTTTGAATATTTTGAAGATTGCGAACACATCTACCTTCCTTTTGATTGGATACACGCAACATCTCCTGGAGTAATCATCAACGAAATATACAAAATATCTTGCGCCTCCTAGGGATATAATTGGTGCTTGCCAAACATTAGAATGAACCAATTCTGGGATAGCTTTACTTTAAACAGTGGAACTATTGAACTTCAATTTGTGCTACTTACTAGTAACACAATGCTCACAAAAGGGTAATGAAACCTTTTTGAATCTTGGAAGATGCTTTTGTTCTGAGATATACATTTCGACATGTGGCCAAGCTAGTCGTGCCACATCATCATTAATTCTTTTGCTGAACTTATCGATACGACAGCTGTTTCTCTTTCTTGTAGTGTCTTTCCTTTTAAGTATGTACAAATTTGTAGATACCTTTTTCGCTTTTATCACCACAAGCGAGCCTTTGATCATTTTCATAACCCCATCTTGTACATGGGTCTTGCAACCATTGCTATCTAATTGTTCAAAAAATAATAGATTTTCTTTAAACCTTTTACGTATCGTACCTCTTGGATAGTGCGAACTGTATCATCATACATTTTCAATTTGATGGCCCAATACCAGCAATCCCCAAGGCATGATCATTTCCCATAAACATAGATCTTCTTGAGATAGGTTCATACTAATGAAACCATTTTCTCCTTGGTGTCATGTGCCAAGTAGCTCCAGAGTCCATAAGACAAGCATCAGAAAATTGCTTTCTACCTTCAACAATTGTCGATGCCTCGTTATATAAAATTTCACCATCATTTGAGGTGCTTGTTATACAACCCCGAGATTTTGACGTCTCGAGACCTTTTCCTTTGACTTCTTCATTCTTTTTAAGACTCCTACAATCCCTTTTTTTAAGTGCCCTTTCTTGTCACAGTAATGACACTTGGCATTCTTCTTACTCTTAGATTTTGATCTACTATGATTATGTCTACCACTAGGGCCACGTTCCATTGATCTCCCTCTCATCATTGTCAGAGCTTCCGCTTGATGCGAACTAGTCAATCTATCCTTCTTGTTCTTGTGTCGACTTTCTTCTTCAGGAACCACAATTGCAATATCATTGAAGACTGTACTTTCAAGGTTGTTGGTTAAGTTGATGATGAGTTGATCAAACGAATTTGGTAGACTTTAAAGTAAGATCTCAGCATGTTCACCTACCTCTATATTATGCTCCATTGATGTGAGCTGTGAAAATAGTGTTGAAGGTGTTAATGTGGTTGGTTACCGTAGTTGACTCAATCATCCGAAGGGTGTAAAGCTTTTTTCTGTAAGAAGATTTTGTTGTGTAACGATTTGGCCTTATACAGCTTCTTCAGTGTATCCCACATTTCTTTGGCCATCTTTTTCTCCACCACACTTGACAGTACTCCATCGGCTAGTTCTACGTACAGATTAGCAATTGCATTGCCATCCATCTCGTTCCACTTGCCATCGTCAGTTATCTCTATCGGCCTCTGTTCAATTGCTGCCAAGTTGTTGTTTTTTTTCAAAACTGCTTTTATTCTCATTTTCTACAACGAGAAATTGTTCTCATTGAACTATTCAATCTCATACTTTGCTGCCATTTTGTTCTCCAATACTATGACTGAAAACAGTAACATGTATGTAAATAATGAATGATGACCCGACGCAAAACCTCCCTCTGATACCGCTGTTAGGAACTCGCGGGTCAAGTTTGGCTTACAATGAAAATGGAATTGGGAAAATGTAGCAAAAATGGACACAAATATTTATGTGGTTCACCAAATTTAGGTTATATCCACAAGCAAGCCACAAGTATGGAAAGATTTCATTATAGCAGAAGAATTATAATAACACTTTCTAAATAAGTGGAGATAACAATAATTAGTCTCACTTGTAATAGGATAAACTAAGTAGGAAACACTCAGGAGAAAATATTTTTCTTTCTATAATTTTATCTCTCTACTCACTGCTTTTAATTTCCTATCAATTTGCTGCTCCATTCCTCTTCGATCTCACCCTCTTTTTATAGGAAGATTTGCCACCCTTAAACATTAATTACACACCAAAATGTCAACGAAATTTGGCTGCCTTTCTCTTTACAATTTATGGATGTAGATTGAAAATCTCATCAAATCCAATCTTTAAACTGAGCATTGAATGCAAAGGTGGCTATGAAGAAAATTGCTTGCCCCTTTAGTCAAAGAAAGTGGCTTGAACATCCAACAATTCGTTCGTAAATAATCACTACTAAATAATCACTACGGAAAATTACCAATGGATCCAACAATTCTTTCGTAAATAATCACTATTAAAAAATAGTTTTTCACCTACGAAAAATTTCCAACGGATCGCATCCATTGATGATTAAAAACGGATTATCCGTTGATAAAAGTAATTCACTTTTAGCTACGATAATTAGCAGCGGATTTTTCGTTGGTAAATATGATATCTCTTTATCAACCGATATTCCGTGCCTAATATAATCGTTTAACATTTGGATCTTCCTCCAGCGGATATTCCGTAGGTGATGTACCGAATATTGCAATCCGTTGGTAATTGGAAACGGATTATCCGTTGGTAAAAATAATTCACTTTTGGCTACAATAATCAGCAACGAATTTTTTGTTGGTAAAGATGATATCTCTTTACCAGATATTCCGTACCTAATATAACCGTTTAACATTTTGATATTTTATCTACGGATATTTCTTTAGTAAAAATGATATCTCTTCACCAACGGATATTCCGTGTCTAATATAACCGTCTAACATTTTGATCTTTCCGCAACGGATATTCCGTTGGTAAAAATAATTCACTTATCCCACATCTTATCTCACATCGGAAGTTTACAACAATATCTTTGTAGTTGCTCTCTATAAATTTGTGGTCCAATAAGGAGTTAAACAATATTTTGACATTTCAATTCAGTTGGCTAAAAATAAAAAAAATATAATAATAATAATAATAATAATAATAATATAACTTTTTTACTATATGGTTATTTACAACATTGATTTTTACCAATTGTAATAGTAGACATTTACCAACGAAAAGTTGGTTGGTATTGGTTAAGACTTTTACCAACGAAAATTCCGTTGGTAAAAGATTCACACTTTACCAACGAAAAATTCGTTAGTAAAATGTTTACTCTTTACCTACGGCATGATCCGTTGATAACTATCAGCGACCCTCAAATTACCAACGAATTTGTGGTTGCAAATACTTTGTTGGTGAAGATTATTAGCAATGGATATTGAGGCTTTAGAAACGAAAAATTCGTGCCTGAAACTCTATTTTTTAGTAGTGAATATTTTAATTCTTAGTTGGTGAAAAAATAGCAAGATTTGTTAGCATCACGATGGAAGTTGAGAGAATCCCTGGAATTTAAATATATTAAAGTTATTACCTTTAAAGAAAAATAATTATCCACACATCCAAAGGGTCAACTTATAATCTACATAATTTTTTACCAAACATGCAACTGAGATACAAAGTCTTCTCATAATCAAAAAATTCTTAAGCACTCAATTTCCTTGGTATTATTCGACCGGATCCAATCCTTTGATGAAAATTTGAATTTGACAAAAGGAGTATTTGTACTTGCAATAGGTCGTATAGAATTAATTGACCATTTAGAGAAAGGGACAAATTTGTGCCGTCTCCAAAAATTTAAGGTTTTTTTTTTCATTATTATTATTATTATTGTTATTATTATTTTGGGTGATGTGGTTCATCAACATGCAATTTCTTTTCTCAAAATTTAATACATCTTTTTTAGCTACAAAGCAGCAATGTATATATAAAATTTTATTTAGTAGCTCTCTCTCACACACACTCTCTACTTACAAGCTATAACTGAACCAAATTAAGAAGGTTTTAATTAAATTTAAGCAGCAGAAGCCTCCGCCTTCATTTCATCTTGAATGGCTATTGCTAACAGATCATAGGCTTGACTCCATGCACCATTCATTTCTTCACTCCATTTATCCCCCATTGCCTCCTTAATTGTTCTCAGCAAAGCATCTTTCACAACCTATTTTAAGTTTTACGGGAAAAAAAAAAAAACCGAATTAATTGATACTTCCGAGCAAAGATAATATTTATTTTGAAAACAAAAATTTAAACCTCGAAGTGAGGACCCATGACTCCTTTCTGAAGATGGACGGCTCCCAGCCATTTGAGAGTAGTATCAGCCACCACAACTTTGCCCTTCTCGTGAAGCTGAATAGCTGATTCACATGTCTTCACATTTACATTCGGGAAAAAAGAAGAAGAAGTTAATTTACTCGTAGAAATAAGCTGTTACTCATAAAAATATTCGAGTATTCATATTATTTGAGCAAATTACAATCCTATTGTCCAACAAAGATTTTTGACTTCTCTAAACTTGAATTACTCTGCTATTATTATTTATACGGCCTAACAAATTTCTCCAGTCTTCTCAGAAAAGATAAGTTGTGACTTTTATTCACTTTGACCCAAAACTCTCACAGATCGACCGAGCGAAGGAGCTCATCTATATTTATAACCCATGGAGTAATTAATTAAACAGAAATGAAATTAATTACCGTCTTGAAAACCTTAACAGCATGAGCCCTGACTTTGGGATTGTTCCGGGGGATTTCATCTGTGTTTTGCAGAAAAGAGAACATGTTCTTTGCTTCCGGGGCATTCTCCATAATCCTGCATCCATTCAATTCCATTATAAATAACAACCCATTTTCTTTAAGGTGCATGATGAAATGAATGTCTCTATACATACATGAATGTTTATGTATCTATTTCTCTATCTACTTACAATGTGAACAAACGAAGGCTGAGCTCCGGAACATTTTGCTTCATCACCTCCCATGACTCCTTCACTAAACTTTCTTGCTTCTCACTGAAAACCATTCTCTGTGTGTGTGTGTGGGTGGGTGCATGGGTGGGTGAGTGTGAAGATGGGGTTTTTCTGACCCAGCCAGCCTATATATAGTGCTAGCACAGCAAATTAAGATAATCTCTTGCAGTCATGGTTATGAGTCAATCTGTATCTTGTAAATGAGAAAGGCGGCGTGTACAGTGCACAGCACTCCCACAATTGTGGGGGGCCGTGATTATTTTAATCGTGAGTCTTATCTCTTGTATGTGATACATGATGTCAAAATTACTGTACTTAGAGTATTGCTCTTTGTAATTTAACTTGTCATGGTTCGATGGGTGAGTGAGGATAGGTGTAAAGTTAATTGAAATGAATTTTATTCATTGGGCAATATAATATGAAACTGACAATGACACATTGTCTTATAGACATTAGCACCACTAAAAGCTAATAACATTATTATTCAAGAAGGTTATATTAATGTTAAAGTAAGAAAGATACATTTTATAAGATATTGACGATGTTGTGACATCTTAAACACCGATTTCAGACCTATTCAAAGAGGTAAACAAAGATAATGATGATTCTTTTATGATAAGGCACTGAAACGAAGCTTGAAAGATGACACATGAGGCGTAGATATTATTTTTCTTTACGATCATTTTTAGTCGGGTGTGTCCTATCACTCCAGGGGATGCATGCACAAACACCCAACCAATAGGGAGCACCACATACGCACCTTGTTCGTCCAGGGCCCATGTGGGCTCTAGACGAATAGCAAAACCCTTTTTAGTCTCCTAGATTGTTTAATTTTTTTAAATCGTGCTTTCAATGAAAAATGTCAAGTCAACATTTATCCTCTTAAATTTGTATTTTTATTTTATTTCTAGTATAAACAAGTGTAAGATTTTAAGAAACACATTTGCAATGAAAGAGTGCAAAGAAGAAGGTCGTACACATGTGACATGGGGATATTCTAGTGTGTCAAAACGTCAAAAATGGACTTCGACTCTATAGAATTGAAAAGCTTATCGAATCAAGATTTCAGCGCATTTTAACATTTTTCTTTGTAATGTCAGGCATCCTACTTAAGCTCTGCATAAACTCGCTTGTATTCAAGCTGAACGTTCGCACCAGCCAGAGTTTTAGTAATTTTGCAACTGTGAAGAGTGCAATTTGGGCAAGATAATTATTTTTAGATCTCTTTTAATAAACAAGAACAATTTGATAGAAGAGGTTGGGATTAATTAATGCAAGAGATAATGAATTTGGATTTTGGTAGAAGCCACGAAAATTTGGACTCATCAATTATAATTTAATGTGAAAATAGTAAAGCAGCAAATGAATAATTCCAATTTATGGAGTTCATAAACAATAGGACCGATCCCCCACTCATAAAATTGACACCCTTATTTGACAAATAATCTGATATTTAATTTAAGTCAATTCAACACTCAGTATATATTTTACTAAAATCATGAGAGAGTTGGTTATAACCACTTGAGATTCATATAATATTGAGCATTAGATTGACTTAAATTAAAAAAATCATAATTATTTGTCAAATAAGTATGTCAAATTTATGAGTAAAAGGAATGCTCCTGCGTAAACAAATCAATTATGAAGAAAAGTTCCTTCCTGATAATTGTTAATTCAACTAGATCTCCTTAATTTTTAATAAAAAGTAATATGTTTTAACAAACTTTTCATTGTAAACATTTTACTGCAATTTTTGTGCCATTAAGGTTTTCATTATTTCTTTACTGGACTGCTTATATATCAATGCTCTCTCATCCTTGTCCTAGCATGCGCCTCATTAAGCTTAAATTTCATTAGGGGTTCTTCGATCTCCTTCTCCTACGGATACTGCTTAGTATACTCCCCCTTCATCTGTACATTTGATCGAGCCGTATTCGATTTTTGTTTCTACCAATAATGTAACTAAATTAGATCTGATTTCATTCACACCGTCTACAGTAGGGGTAAGAGCATAGACGA